ATTATTCTAAAAGGACTAAAATGAGCCATTGTACATCATTCTACAATTTTAAATAAGTAAATTAGGAGCAATCCTGCAGACAGTGTTTTCCTTTAGTTAGCGACATGCTATGTGCCCACTGGCAACTTTTGTTGCCACTCACAGAAATAAGCCCATGAACAAAAAAATATTTATCCTAGGTACAATTTTTTTGGGGAGGGTTACTCTAGAGACTTGAATGATTAAATAATTATAAATATGTTTGGGGGGAAAGTCATAAGAAATTTATGAAAATTACCTCTTTCCAGGATGATTTGCATCCGCCATGTCTTCAGCCAGAAAGAGCGGGAAGCAGATGATGTCATGCGATAGGAAGCACTTGGAAACGATTTTTTAAAAATCAAAACCTTTGTCTAAGTTGTCTACTAGCATATAAGTGGAAAAAGTTGCATTAGTACCTTTGAGATTTTTTATTGTGAGTCGAAAATGACAGTGATAAACTTTGGCAACAATTGTTGCCAGTGGGGCAAAACGGGTTTTAAAGAGCTCCCGATGTTTGATAGCACTGCTTTCTTTAATTATGTGGCATTTGGGATGTGGAATTAACTATTACAACGAGCTAGCTCTCGGTGTGAAGCTGTAATAACACGTGAAGCTGCCTGGTTGTAATTATGGAGGTTAAATGACGTTTGCAGTGAACATAAGTAGTTTGAACTTTAAAAAAAAAAATCCCCTCGTATCGCAAACGTCTACGGCTTTAAAGCGAAAGCAAATCAAAAGAGATAAAGCAATACAAAATAAATAAATAACTATTTTTTTTGTACTGGAGCGTCTCCGTATTCAAATTAAGCCCTGTTTAAATTTCAACAACTGCATTCCTTCTCTTGTCTCCTTCAACAAACAGGAAACACTCGTCCTACAAAAAAATGACTGGCGCCCGATTTTAACCAATGACGTTCCACCACAACCTTCGCTCAGCCAATCGACGTAGAGAAGAAGGGCGGAACGTCCTGTAATGTGATGCAAATTCGACGGTCAAGCTTGTTAGTCCCACCTTTTTGTGTTTCCCGCACCGTCAATCAAAATAGAAAAAAAATCGACCCGAATTCGCCGATCAACACTGGCCCGCCTTTGATAAAATAATCATGTTCGGAGTTTAGTTGATCCGATAATCCCCCGGGTTACTACCACTCACGCTATGACTGGTACGTAAACGTTCAGCACATCGAAGCGTGCAGCTAATCGGTGAGTTTGTGAGAGCTGGAGCCGAGCGAGCTACGTCTTTTTATCTTTAGCTCTGCTGCTAACGAGCTCGATATGGTTAGCTGACTGAGCTAGCTGGCTAGCCACGGAGTTGACAAAGTAAACAGTCGAGCTCGGCCCCCCAAATTTCTTCAGAACCTCCGCTGCAAAGTAGAATTTCGCAGTCGGCTCCTTTTGGGACCGGAGAGTGGGGATGCTTTGCGGGCTTTTCTGGCAGGCAGGAGTTGAAGATTACAGAGTTTTGCTGAGTTTCCCCCTCTCTCCCTGCTAGCGCCAGAGCAGCCTCTGAAACAAGGAGAAATGGCGTCCGCGGACGTGGACAGCAGTCAAAGCGAGTTTCTGCAACCCGGCGGCGCCGCGGAAACACAGGTATCCGACATTTTCTAGCTCGTCTTTCTCGCTCGCTTTCGATTTCTCGGTTGTGTTTTGTTTTGGGAGCATGAAGTTCACAGGTTTTAACATTTTGATGGCATGGGGAGAAAGCCGTACACTTCCTGTGTTCCCCTCAATAACGGCCACCCACTTTACCCCTGTAAAACCCGCCCATAGTGGGTAGGACACTGAAGTCAGTCACTTGGGTCGGCTCGCTGGAAGATAGCCGGTGTACCTTGGGCTCGAAGGATGCAGGGGTGGGATAATGTAGCACGGATAGCGTCCATAATCAAAACAGTAGCTTGGAGTTGTGTTGTAATGGCCACCCATCCCCCACACCCTGCTCTCGGCTGTATCTGAGCCTGCTATCTTCACTCTGTATATGTGTATGTGTGCTGGTAGTGCTCACATCTTTCTTGTGACTTTAAATGCTGCATGATCTACTCCTGCCCGTGTTCCACTTGTTCCTTTCGTGCATCTGCACAGTTTCTGAATCCAAACCTGATTGGTAGACAATAGCCAGACTGTGATCTAATCTGAAGCTGAGAGGAGTCACTGTCTCCCTGTTGGAAGTGTGATCTGTCCCTGTTAATGTGACTTTTGATTGTGCTCCCAGACGACAGATATGTCAGCCATTCAGCTGACGGGCTCAGATCGATGGGAGGTGTTGACTCCCGTATCGGCTGGGAAGGAAGACCAGGGAGTCGTTCACATTCCAAACTCGGGGATTATCACGTCCAACGGGCAGTACGTGCTTCCTATTGGGAGTATTCCCAGCCAGCCCATATATGTTACAGCAACCGGGAGTGAGGCTGCAGCAAATGGAGTGTCGGGCATTCAGTATCAGGTAAAAAAAAAAGATGAACAAAGAAAAACATATAGATCAGAGCACTCCAGCATAGGTGATCAGCATGCTCAAAGCTGTCCCCCCCCCCGCTCTGTCTTTCAGGTCATCCCTCAAATCCAAAATGCAGATGGGACAATTGCAGGATTCCCCACGCAGGGTTTGGATGACGGTACGGGGCAGATTCAGCTACTCCAAGATGGCAGCCAGGGCAGCATTGGAATCAGCTGTGCCACGACGGCAACCACAGATCTCTTGACACAGGCGGGGCAGGTTCAGTCGATCCACGGCGTTTCGCTAGCTGGAGGTTCGACGTACACGGGCACCATGCCTGTAGGGCTTCCTGGCAACATAACATTCGTCCCTATAAACAGTGTGGATCTGGAGTCGCTGGGGCTGACCGGAGCTCAGACGGTCCCCATCGCAACAGGAGTCACACCTGAAGGCCAGTTGATAATGAGCAGCCAGGCTCTCGACACCCAGAACCAGGACACCGGAGCCAAACAGTCGCTGGTCACTGTGAGTGACCCGAGCGCCAACCAAGAGCTCTACGTGCCAACAACCACTTCCTCTTCCAACTCCGCCCAGCTTCCTGAGACCATCGACGGCACAGGAGTTCTCACCCAGGCGACTGCCGTGTCCGCAGGCGTGTCTGATCTGTCGTCCTCGGAGAACTACAACTCCCACAACCACCTGCAGCAAATCCAGGTCAGCGTGTGTGGCTTTAGCAGCATGTCATGTGAATGTGTGTCATGCCCAATGGTCTCTGGAGACATTTGATTACAATTTAAATTATAAGTGAGCAATTTAATGAAATGAAGCAATCTCAAAAGGAAAAGTTTTTGGTCTGCACTAAAGCCATAAGTGGGGACAATAGGTCCTGGAATATCGTCATTCCTGAAGACTTATTTGTTGCAAGAGTTGACAGATTCCCAGCTTTAGTCATACTGTTGCCAGTTTAATGGGAAGGTTTTGCACAACAACCCCACAACACTTAGAAAACATTTGTTAATGAAAAAGATACTAAAGAAAATCTATAATAATAGTAATAATAATAACCTGTAAAGTAAACACAATTTAATAACTTTGTCGTTACTGGCAACAGAACGTGAAAAATGACACCCAGCCCAAGTAATGAGGGGTTAAGCAGATTCCTCTAATCACCCCAAGGCCAATAATGTCTGTGAGGCACTGCTTTAAGGTGTGCATTTAAAGTTTACAAACTCCTCTTTATGTTTGTTGAAGTTTTTACTGTGACTGATGTGTATCGCAGAACATATTTTGGCCAAGACCACCTGGTGGTTCCTATGGAAACGCACCAAGAACCTGGGCTCGACTGAGGGCTGAAATCATGTTAAAATGATGTAGCTGGCTAAAGTCATTTGATTGCACAATGTCTCTATTATTTCAGCACAGCGTGTCATGCTAGCAGTCAACTAAAGGACTTATGAAACTGTTACTCACAGCTGTCTGAATAATCAACATCCAACTGCAACACAAATGCATTCACAAAAATATTGTGGCCTCAACTCATATTTGGAAATTGTTTTTTAAATCACTGCACACTGACACATACTGATCACACTTTTCCTGTTCTTCCTGCTGATGGTTCCTCTCAGTCTGTTGCTGATATCCACTTTCTTTTCACTCGAAAAATGCAGTTCTTTGGTTTGTCAGGCCATAAAAATGTAGCTTTGTGTACTTTCATCAGTTCTTCTTTAGATCAGAGCGCTGCAGTGCATCTCACATCTGTCTTTTTACAATTTTGGGGGGATAATTTCTAGTAGATGTGATTGACAAGAAGGCATCTGCACATGATACAAAGCAAAAGGGCCTAAAAGTGCACTGCTGATAATAGGTTTGGTTAATTTTTTTCATGCACTTGTGTTATTTGGGCCTTTACATAAAGCGGTAATGTGCAGAAAGTACTGCATTCAAAAAAAAAAAAAAAAGGGAAACATATGAATTCTACTTTTTTGGCCCTTGTTTAAAAGTGTAATTTATTCCTGCAGGTGTCATCCTCCAATGCCACCACTATCTCACAGCCCATCTTGCAGCTGTCTGGGGACAGTCAGGCCCAGGTAGCCCAGGTGGCTCAGGGTCAGGACCTGACTGCAGGAGCAGGTCAGACTCTACAGAGCGTGCAGCTGGTCAACCCTGGGACCTTTCTCATCCAGGCCCAAACTGTCACTGCTACTGGACAGATCCAGTGGCAGACCTTCCAGGTAAGTTCAAGGGGCTGTTTTGCTCTTTCAGGTGAGCTTGCTTTGCTATAAGATTCCCAAAAACATCTGTTTTCTCTCTTAGGTTCAGGGTGTCCAGTCACTCCAAGGACTTCAGCTGCCCCAGGGTCAGGGCCAGGCCCAACAGTTGACTTTAGCCCCAGTCCAGACCCTTCCCCTGGGCCAGACAGGCCAGGTCAGCCTGCCTAACCTCCAAACAGTCACAGTTAACTCTGTAACACAAACTGGGATCCAGTACTCGCAGGGAGAGGATGCAAACAGTCCAGCAGGTATGTGGCTGTATGCTTGTGCATATATCACTCCTCATTTCATTCATTTAGTTAATCCCTTACAGTTTCTTAAATCTCCCTCTTTCATTCTGTTTTCCTCTGCTCAGGTATCCAGATAAAGGAAGAGCCAGACTCTGAGGAGTGGCAGCTGAGCGGGGATTCCACGTTGAACCCCAGCGACTTGAACAACCTGCGTGTTCAGATGGGAGACGAGGACATGGAGACGCCGAGCGGGGAGGGCAAAAGGCTCCGCAGAGTCGCCTGCACCTGCCCCAACTGCAAAGAGTCTGGAGGAAGGTGGGCCTCTGAGAACACACACACACACGCCATGGATAACAGGAGGTGTAGGTGCTGAGCTCACCTTTGACCAGCAGAACAAAAAAGGAAACACTAGTAAATGCAAAGTTTGGAAAATGGAAGCACTTCACTTCCCTGATCCCTCTTATCTTCACTCTCCCTCGTTTCCACAGGGGTTCAGGTATGGGGAAGAAGAAGCAGCACATCTGCCACATCGCCGGTTGCGGCAAGGTTTACGGGAAGACATCCCACCTCCGAGCTCACCTGCGCTGGCACAGCGGCGAGAGACCCTTCGTCTGCAACTGGATGTTCTGTGGGAAGAGATTCACCAGGAGTGACGAGCTGCAGAGACACAGGAGGACGCACACAGGTGAGATCACCTGTCGACACGCTTTTTGTTTTGAAATTGGAAAAAAAAGAAAAGAATAACAACAAAGTAACAGTTTTATGGTCGGAGCTCATGTGGGGATCGCGTTGCCGTTACAATGTTACAGTTACAAAATGTTTTCATGTCTGCTGCTGCTGCTGTCCAGAGCTTTGGTTTGCGATCACGCAATGTTCAGCAAAGACGTGTGAAACACGAAGGGGAAAAAAAAAGTGAGAAACCGACACTTCACAGCAGATCATCAGCGATATCAGTTTTATTTTATTTGTAGTTGAAATGAATTGAATCAGCTAATAAACACTTGAAATTACATCATTGTTCATCTGAGCAGTTAAGTAGCAGATAATATCAACTCAGCCCGAAGCATTTTTATTAAATCATTTTAACGAGACTGCCGTTGCTGTGATAAAGCCTGAGATGTAGTCGGGGGCTGTGATGACAAACTTGTGATGTGTGCTTGTCCTTAATTGATACTTTGGGTTAAACGACAACTAGAGTCAGGCTCTGATTTCTTTAGAAATCTGACCCCATTACTGCGATCACATTTCTATCACAATGATGCAATATGTGACCGTCTGTCATTAATAAATCATTAGATCCATCAACAGTCTTCCAGCAGTATTAATGTAGAGGTGTAGCTGCTCAGTCTCGCTATCTTGGTAAAGCCTTTGGGTTCCTTTTTGGCTTTTATTTTGAAAACCCTTTAAGTCGGTGAGGGAGGAAACCAAAGTTTAGGATCTGATCCCAGATTTTGCATTGAGTCTTGGGTCATATGGTCACCTGATCAACCAGGTGATGTCGTGAATCTGAGTAGATGGTGATGAAGGCTCTTGCTCACGTGACTCCAAGAATCCAGTGGTCACGATGAGTGAGATCCACACTTCCTTTGAGGAGATGGAAGTTCAGTGTAGAATCAGATTAGAGATCTATGGTTTCAACATCACATATTTTTTAAGATGTATGGAAGAGAGGAAAGGTCACATGACCTCGACAAGGGCTGCAAATCAAGTCGCGTTGCAATAAAGTTGCTCTGTAGCATCTTAGTGAGGAAAGGCAACTCATTAACGGCATCCCTATTGTCCAGTGTGCAGCGTCATCATCATGCTGTAGGGATGTTTTTCTTTCTTTTATTTGCTCAAAATCAAGATTCATGTCAACATGCTTTATATTGTGAGGTAAAGGCCCTAAAATGTTATGACTCTAAATTAATGTGATGCTGAAAACTATTTAACAGTTACACTAAGAAGAGGGTTTTGGAAAGGAAATGCTTAAAATGGGGTCCTGAGTAGGCTCGAGGGAGCCGTCCCCACTGCTAAGTGAAGGATCTGATGCTAGAAACAAGCGACAAAGTCTCCAAATGCTCCAGTTCAGTTAGTTGCAGACAAAAATGTGCGTCGCCACTGATGTGTGCTTGTTGGACCCTGCAGGGGAGAAGAAGTTTGTGTGCTCAGAGTGCTCCAAGAGGTTCATGCGGAGCGACCACCTGGCCAAGCACATAAAGACTCACCAGAATAAAAAAGGCGGGGTGCCCCCCTCCACGTCTCCGCCCACCTCCGACGCCATCATCAACACGGACGGAACAACGCTCATCCTCCAGGCCACCAACGCGCACGACCTTGTAGCCAATCAGGAGATCCCCTTGCAGCTGGTCACAGTGGCGCCCAGCGAGGTCATGGAATGAGGGGGTGGGTGGGGGTTGATGTGGTGAGGTGGCTTTTTGAGAACTGGCCTATCAAAAGGGACCTCTTGGGCTTTTCTCTTCCCCTCTTCCCCCCCCCTTTTTTTTTTCCTTGTTTTGTTTTTTTACATATGAATATATACCTAAATGTATATGACAAATATATATATTTTAAGTAAGAGTTATCTTGACTTTATGTTTGTTTTTTGCAGTCTTTTTATAGGCGGGCAAAAAGAAATAACATTAAAATGTGTTTGCTATGTACACACGCTCACACACACACACACACACGAAAGCACACATTAACACTCAAAACACGACATGAATACTCAACACGATGAAATGCCTTATTTTGTATTATACTCTTGTATAAAATGCTGGAGGTGCATGTTGGTTTTTTGTTTGTTTTTAAAGAAAAAGCTTTGCAGATGATGTAACTGTAACGGGGGTAAATGTGTTTGTGAAATCGGACCGAGGGAAAAGGAAGCCGTGGAAACTCTCGGGGAGAGTCGTGACAAATCTGAGCGCCCTGTTTGAAGCGGCGCGGCGTCCACACCGCTGCCTTGATTTGTTCTTTTTGTTTTGTTTTTTTAAAAGTAGTTTTTAAATGTTTTTTGGAAATGTGCTGATTCGCTTTTTTCTTGAGAGTGAAAAAAATCCAGCAGTCTGGTACCACCCCCCCTCCCTTCACTGTCGTCGTGCTAAAGGTAACCAGCTGCTCACAGGGGCTTCGCGTTTGGCGTTACAGACTTTAGTAAGACGGCAAATCAGGTTATTTTCCAGCCCAGTCAGGGCAGCGGTGCTGATGTCACGCCGCGCGCTGCTCGACGCAGAGCACGGGCGCAGCTGGCTGGTCAGGTTAAGATGACAGTGCCACCATTAACCGGTTTGAAGTTTGCATTTTTGCCTCAAGGACGAGGGGAGGGGAGGGGGAAACAAATGCAAGCAACTTCTTTCAGCATCTGTTTTCATGAGCACGCCGTCTGCTGTGCTTGTCAACATTTAAAGAAACACCACATCCTTTTTTTTCCTTTTTTGGGGGGGGGGGGTTAATTCTCGTCATGTTTCAGTTCTCCACGTCTCTTTGCTGGTCTGGGTGTCGTCTATGTTGAAGCCACACGATGATGGGAATCATAGGTTTTAAAGCGTTCTGGGTTATTTGTTGGCTGCAGGAGGAGTCTGCACACACCAGTGTTGCCATGTGAAGAAAACGGATGCATCAAATCGGCCTCATTAAAGCCAGTTCTACTTTTTTTTTTCCTGCTTCTTTTTGTGTCATCACATTCCAGTTGCACGCCACACGCTGTGGGATTCGTTTTGCAATAACTGCTCTGTTGGTAATTCTGGTCAGATGTCACTCAAGTGAAAAAGCAAAACAATCAATGCCATTGTTTGTGTGTTTTTATTTTTTATTTTAATTGATGTAATCCCTTTGTTTGTCCTCATCTTTGTAGCATTCATTTACATGTATATTATCTTATTTTCACATTGTTCATAGAAGCCATTAGTTAACTGAATTTTGTTGTATCAAAACCTTATTTTAAGTGATTTTTTTTTTTTTTTTTAAAAAGAATTGGTGTAAAAATTGAATGTTACCTTTTTGTAAAACCTTTTTTCAAATGGATCACAATAAAAGTCTGAAACCTTCCAGTAACAGGTTTTGTGTGTCGGGGGCAGAAATGGGACGCCCTGCACCAAGAGAGTTACGCTTTAGAGAGTATGCAGATGCTGATGGTTGGTAGAGGTAAGATGTTGGAAGCAGTAAACAACGGGGGAAAGGAAGAGACCAGCAGTGATGTGCAACGAGATCACAGTATGAATCGCTGCTCTGGAAAAAGTAGATCTGTAATATTAAACAGGCATTGTGGCAGATCCAGATGTTGCCATCAGGATCAGATCTGTTTTTAAGAAACTCAGCTGTGCATAATGTGAGAACAAGAACCATCACGACATGCTACATGTGTGAGGGGTCATTTCCCAGTCTTATATGCAAAAAAAGTACACTGTTAATATCCATACTGTCTTCATTACACTTCTAGCTGTGACATAATCACAGTGGAAACTTTAGTCTCACAGTAAATGCACCTAAGAGATAAATTTGATAATCCTAGGTGTTTTTCAGAAAGGCTGGTTTCTCATGTGGATTCAGATTGGTGCAAGGACGTGACATCACTACTTTGTCATCCAGGAACTACCTACACAGTCTAGCCATTGGCCTGCATAATCAGTCTGATGATGCCATCCTGGTAACGCCAGCACAGCCTTTGGAGGGCTGTGTGACTGAAGGATATGAATCCCCCAGATCACCACTGACCCACTGCCAAACCTGTCATGCTGGATGATGTTGGAAGCAGTGAAACATTTGCCCAGCTTCTCCACACTCTTTCAGGCTCAGAGTGAATCTGCTCTCCACATGGGAGAACGGAGTCCCAGCGTCAGACCGGCCAGTTCTGGTGTTCTGTCAAGCTGCGCAGTGCTGGGGTGAAAAGGTCCCACAAAGGGACGTCAGGCCCTCACACCACCCTCGTGGACTCTGATTCAGACAGCTTGCACATGAATACCTTGCTGGAGGTCATGTTGTAGGGCTCTGGCCGTGCTCCTGTTCCTCCTTGTAGCTCTTCCACACTCTTGAGGCTGTGCTGGGAGACACAGCAAAGCTTCTTTTGACAGCAAGCATGGGCTGCAGGTACTGCGTCATGCTGCCAGATGTGACAAGGACACTAGGCAAAAACCAAAACTAGAGAAAAAGCAGTCACGAGGGCTGTCTGGTTGTTGCCTCTGATGTCACTTTGATTTGCACCAGAGCAGGTGATCTGGACTCACAGTGGTTCATGCTTCCTACCAGGACAGAATGATATCCCTGAAGTTTAACGAACTTGCTGTTATCATGTGACCCAATGTTTCCTTTTTCAGCAGTGTACTTATCTGGCTGCTAACTAGCTTTCTCACCAGGGTTACGTCACTAGGACGTAAATAGTTAAAGCAGAATATTGTTCACATGTAAACAAAAATACACTGGACCACCCATTAATCGGAGTTTATTTAACAAAAATATCTGACAGCCGAAACAAGATGAAGATGACAAATCCATCAATGTTACCAAAGAACAGAAATCACTTTTGCTTTAAGCCAAATTTTTAAGGCTCCTCTTCCCTTTAGAGTATAACTTTGATCAGCTTCTGACTTTATGCTGCAACATCTGTACCTGAGAGTCACAGTGACAACAATCCTACTGATTTTGATGTTCATTTTCAGGTCAAACACCTGTGGGTGAGAGTTTACAGTGCTTCTCCTTGTTTTCTTTAAAATCACAGCCTTCACGTGAACTTGTATCTTTATGCAATCCAGAGAAAAACCAAACAGCTTCAAATGAGCGAATGCAAAGTGTTCCCAGCACCAGATGTTTGACATACAGCAAATAAACACCAAAATGAACCAGCAATACCATTCTCTGAAGTCCTCCTCCCTTTGTGCTTCTACAAAAGCCAGAACCAGAATCCCAATCAGTGCAAACAGACTGACATCAACTACAGGGAGAAAAAAAAAAATGCACGATTCGCTTCACAAAACACATCCTCACAGTTTGCACCCACACAGTCACCGAAACCTATAAAAGAACAAAAAACTGGACATTGTTTCAACCAGTCGGTCAGTCTGTCAGCAGTCCCCGAGGCAGGAGAGGAGCGTCGTTCTGAAGCAGACTCTTTAAACAGAGTCCAGTTCAGCGCCTCATCGTAGCGAGCGCCTCACAGCTCCGTGTGAGCATCTGGCAGAGGACAGAGGAGAGAGACGTTAGTCTGAGTGATTAATGCGGAAAGCTGCGCGTATCGGTTTCTGCGAGCGAGGCGCACCTGTGTCCTGCTGCTTCGCCATGTGGTTCGCTCTGTCTTGGATTCTGGCCTGCAGGCGTTTGATCTCCTGGTCGTAGTCGGTCCACTCTGCCACGATCCTCACCGCAGCCTGCAGCTTGGGCTCTTTGGTCATCGGGTTGTTGCACTGATATTGGGAAAATGAGAAAAAAGACAAAACAGCTCATATCATAGTTCACATAATGTGGTTTGGTACAAAAACAGGATGCAGCATCAAAACTGATTTATGTCCACCTATAAAATGACTATTTAAAACCTTCATGGCAAGGCTGAGATGGTTTGGACATGTGCAGAGGAGGGATAGTGAACATTCTGGGCAAAAGATATTAAATATAAAACTGCCAGGCAGGAGGAAAAGAGAAAGCTTCATGAATGTAGAGGAGGACAGGCAGAGAGTTTGTGTGACCGAGGAGGATGCTAGGGACAGGGTGAGATGGAAGCAGATGATCTGCTGTGGTGGAAGAAGAAGGTGGTCTTATTTTTAATGTGAACTCATTCTTAAGCCTGCCTGCCTGCCCTCTAGTGGCTGTTAGGATACATGGGAATCTTTAGAAAACTGCCATCAATCCTCTGTAACTCTGACAAACTGTACAGAAAACAGTTAAATAAAAAGAAGCATTCTTTACCAGATCTATTGTTTTGGCGCTCTTCTTGGAGCTGTCATCACACCAGGTCTCACACCACAGCCACTCCTGAGGTAGAGACTTTATGGGCACCTGGTGGATCATGTTGTTTGGAAGATCCTGGAAAAAAATCAAATCATATAAACAAACAAACTAGTGAGAAAAAGTGCAGAGCTTAACTAAAAGCAGAGAAGGGAAAACTATTGTTAGGAAGGTTGAACCATCATGTACAAACAAGCATTAGAAGCAGCATCTGCTTCCCCTGTGTACTTTCACAGTTGGCTGTCTTTATGTTTTCTTTCAGCTGCGTAGTAATCAAGTTGCAATCACAGACTACAGTTTGTCCTGTCGCTGTGCTCAAGGACATCAGAGCCTGAAATGTAAAAGCTGCTGAACAATGCCGCAATCATAAAACCAGCGATGCGCTGTCGTGAAATCAGAAGCAGAGCAGAACATGACGAGTAAACACGAGCGGCGACAAGGAACAGACGCACGCTAACGCGAGGCTGCTCTAAAGTCTTCACTGAAAAACTGGAGAAGAGTGTTCAATCAATCTAAAAACATATGGCTGTTTTACATAAAACACGTGGCTCTGATGTCACGTGTACATAAAAACACGAATGCAGACAGTGAGTGAAGAGAGCGTCAGACCTGGTCGAGGTTGGAAAGGCTGTTGGGGTCTTGGCTGAGCCCCTGGTACTGTCCTCTGAGTCGATCTCCTGCAGCTATTTTCCTGAACTTCTTCAGATCGACGACGTACAGCGCGCTGCAAACGATGGTAACACGTGAAAGTTGCAGGAAAGCATGTTTGCAGATAGTTGATGTTAAACGCTGCTGAAACTTGATTGCGACACGGGAGCTGAGCGATCAGCGTCTACCTGATGTGGTATTTGCGTCCAGCGAGGTGGCTCGCCCAGTATCCGGACTTCCAGAAGCGGTATCCGTCCATCTCCCTGCGGCTCTCGCAGAATGGAGTGTATCCGTACGGAGCTCCTTCCAGGTCGAAGTCACGCAGCTCCTTCAGGTCTGTGCGCACAATCTGAAGCAGAGGAGGAGGTGTGAACAGCTTAGCTGGCACAAAACAGTAAAAATAAAAAGTAGAGAACATATCTCACATAAAAAAAAAGGGAAAAAAAAAAGGAGTCTAGGAACTCATGTGGAGCAAAACTGAGTATGCACTTCCAAACTTTTATATAAAACTACTTCCAAACCTTTTAGTACTTCATGGCAGTCATGAGGAATATTATATTTAACAGGTTCTCTGAAGCTGACAGTTTCCTCCTTTACTGAATAGTAAAAGAACAAATATTTGGACAGATGCAGGATGAGTGACTGTGTTTGCACAGCTACATGTGAGCAAACCTGGTCAGCATCCACGAACAGGATCTTGTCGACGGCCAGAGGGAACAGCACGTCCAGGAAGAGGATCTTATAGCCCCAGATGATCCTCTGCTTCTCCGTCTGCTGGTGTAACCAGCGGGGCCATTTATACTGGACCAGCTCATACTGGAAGCCGTATTCCTTCGCCATGTGGGGGATAAACTCCTGAAAGATGGCGACACACAGGAACAGAGCTGTCAGCATGTGCACACCTCATAATTTTCCCCTTTGACAATATGGGGCCATAAATAATTCATAAACAGGCTGACAGCTGACCGACAACTGACCCCTGACAGATTTAATGAAAATGGACTCAAATATCAAAAATGCAAAATTAAATAAACACAATGACAAACACAAAAATGACAAACACAAAAAAAAAAGCAAGCACGGTAACTTAAACAGACAGCAAATCTGGCCTTGCTATGCTGCTCTATGAGGTCGTAGAAGGACACAAACTGCTCCCAGCCAATTGGCAAAGATCAGGCTATGTGATGGTTAGAGACATTATTGCACGGACCAATCAGTAATGGCCTAAAGCATTTCAAACTCCACTGTTCTTCTGGACTTCAGAAAACTCTTACATCTGTAACATTGAAACTAAGAGTGGTAAGCTATATGAAACTCGATCATTCTGTGGTTGAATAGTTGCTCTAAATGTTGAGTTTTGTGTTGTTTACATAGGATTTCTAGAAATTAGTGAAATATGTGGCATGACAGATGATTTTGTAGGACAGCAGAAATCAAAAGTAAAGTGAATGCCACATGTTTGTATAAAATTGTGCAGTAATCTACTGAGGAACGAAACTCATTCATAGAAATTTTCAAGTGAAATAAGTATGATTACACTCAGTTTTAGCAGATTTTATTATTCTTAAATTGTTTATATATATATTGATGTTTATTTTTAACTAAATCTTATTTATGGTAACAGTGATCTACCAATTTAATATTTGTGATGTATTTAATTTTCACTGAATTACTTTTTGTTGAATTCACATTTATTATGACAATATGTTTTCTACACTTTGCTGTTACTGTTTTTGGCTCAATATTGACTTAAAAATAATCTCTTTTCCTATTGCAGCCGTCTGCTTGGTTCTTTTATTGAAAGAAGGCTGTTGTTGTGCCGTGCTACAGAAATAGCACAAGCTGCTCGATTCAGTGTTTATGAATGGGCTTAAATCTTTGAAGACTAGTATAAATGTTTGGTGCAGTCACATCAAAGCCACATTAGATAGATCGGACACGGGAATGTAATTCACATTTCAAACCATCTACGGGTGAAATAACCGCTGGCGATGCCCAAACTTCTGACAAACTTCTCTAAGCTTCCGGGCGAGCAATTGAAGCAACAACCAATGAGAGAGCGGGATACCGCTGACTGACACATGACCCGACAACCAGAGCCTGGAACTTCCACAAGGGATCAGCCGTCAGCTTCAGAGTGATATTCAATAACACTCCGGTGGTTTCACCGCGAACAAATGGGTTTCAGGTGTGACGCCTTGTGGGCACAAAAATGTCCAGTTAGTGCTTCTCAAACGTTCACTGCTGTGTGTCACATGTGAGTAACTTCGGACAACCTCCTGACCCAATTTTCCTGAAATAGTCCAGAGGTCATGTATGAAAACAGCGTCAGTGAGGTGGTTGTTACATTTCTTCACACTAGCTGCACTCGGCAGCGTAAGGAAGGTTTAGTCTGCTTTTATGGTGAGAACATAAGAGAAATGCTCCTTTGGGCCTATTCTGTCAGAGTACTGTACCGTGGGTGTACTCTGCTTTCAACAAATAACTTGTTTTCTAGTGAAATACTAAGTACATCCCACATTTCTCTGTTTTCCTGCAAGCAAAGGTTGTTACGCTCGTGTTAAAACATGCAATACATTCAGCATCCTATCCACAGCACCTTCAGAAGCCCACAGTATCTCCCACACAAATTATTTTTAGACATAAAAACTAAAGAATATTTAAAAGAAAAATCAGGGAGTAATCCGATCCCTGCTGCACGTTTCTGCTTGAGCTTCAAATCGATGTTGGACAGAGAAAAAGCTGCAGCCATTGGAGAAGATTTCCACATCAGTGACGAGATGCCAGCTGAGTTCTAAAGTAACACCAGAGGCAAAAAATTGAATAAAATAAAGTAAAATCCTACCTTAAAAGTGGGAGACAAGTAGTTCTTGAGGAACCAGAACTTGACGGGAGTTTTGGTGTGCTTTAGAACTGACAGCATCATGATTCTGAGAGAGAAGGAGGACAGTAAAAAGACTGGTGGCAACAGAACTGGGAAGAAAAAGACTCTAAAATCAAAAGTATATGGAAGAAGCAGGGATGTTCGCTTTCAAGGATTTTTGGCTGACACAACAATCCCCTTTCTTTGCCTGGTCACATCTCTGACACCCACCTGAGGAACCTCTCGTACAGATGCCCCGAGGCCACAGAGAAGATGTTGATCGTATCTTCCTTGTCCTGCTTAGGCTCTTCAGTCTTGCCTCCACCCGTGAAACCTCTGAAAGACAAAATGAAAAGCGATTATTTGACAGTTTTGAACATCTGAAAATGAAAAATGAGATCACTGTTTTGAGCTGCACCTGGTCAGAGAATTCCAGAAACCAGTGTCGTTCTCCTCCGTCCCATCACTCAGCAGCTCCTCGCTGAACTTGTCTGGCTTCTTTTGGACCTGATCAACACACAATCATAACTCAGTCAGTCACAACATACTGTGGGAGGAGAAAAGAAGAAAATCAATTATTCTGTTTAAAATATGAATCAAATATCATATGACGTGGTTTTGATTCAGGACTGAAACTTACACAAAACATTAGTGGTTGAGTTTTTACTCTGACTTAAATTTTGTATTGGCTTTAAGATCACACGAGATCGCATGTTCACATATTGCCATGAGTTCAAGAGTGCAATTCTCTAAATATTAAGTCAAAGTGCTTCAGGTGATTGCTTTCTTACACAGCTTTGCTCTTTGGGCACATTATCAAAGCTAATGCTAAGCTAATGCTGCGGCGATGTTGCCTTCAAAAACACGAGTAATCCACAGTCTCAGGACCCTCAGATTCTGGGAGCAGAGCTACAGACATGGGGTGGATACTGGGCCAGATGTCATATTTATGAAAGACTTTCACAGTAGTTTAGTCACAAAACCTTTCATCTTTTTATCTTAAATTTTGGAAATAGAATTGTAGACAACAGACAAGTATAGTCTCTTGTTTGTGCTGTTGTTGGTTCACCAATTAGCCACAGAGAAGAGCTAACAACAAAGAGCTGAAGTGATAAACAATGAAGTTTCCAGGATAGTCACTGTCTGTACTTTTCATGCTGCATCTTCCCTCTCGGTCACGGCAGGTTTAGCGCCTGCTTCTGCCAGAAGTTACTTCCTGTTAAAGGGGTTTTTTCCTTCCCACTGTCACCAAGCGCTTGCTCATAGGGAGTCGTTTAATATTGTTGAATCTTTAGATTACAATGTGAAGTGCCTGTCGCTCCCTTCCCCTCCCAGCTCACTTGTCAACCAATTAGCATTCAACCTACACAAAGCATCAACCACACCTATTGTTGAAAACCTCTCTCCTGCAAAAACCTCCACTCATAGACACAACAGCAGGTCAACAACCTGAGAGAATAAAAGCTGACAGCATAGTTGGATTTTACCTATATTTTTGCATAGGAGATGAGACTGTATTTACCACACAGGGGTCAAGGGGCATAAGCAAGACCTGGAGTGAAGACATTGTTCACTCTGGCAGCCAATATTACAAAAACTGGCATGCGTTGCTTGTGGCTAACCTTTAGAGTAAGCACAGTGAGGGAATAAAGGTCGACTGTGAGGCAGCTGCTCCTTCTTTGAGGAAGGGCCAAACAAGCTGTTTGGTGGGCATTATGGAAATGTGTTACACAGTGATGTAGATGAATGGTGGAAGACAATTTTGAAGCATACTTTTGCAACTTCTCAGAATTTTTGAGAAGACGAACACGAACAAAACACTATAAATCCCACTAAAGCCCAAAACTTATAATATGGGCTTTTTAATGTGAAAAACAAAGAGGTGAGAGAAGCTTAATGTGTATGTGCTTTTGTCTGTAGTTGAAAAATGCACTGGCACGTGGGCACATCTGTCATATGCAAATACCGCTTCAAAGTCTGATTTTACTTTAGTCATCTTTGCACAAATTACATATTTATTCAGCTCAAAACGGCTCAGTTCAGACTGCAGTTTCTGCTTCTCGTTAAAATTTATGAGAAACCTGAGAAATTGAGCAGTCTGGATATTCTGCTCACCAACTTTCCATCCTGGATTTATCCAGCTAACAGTGCTGAAGGGCAGATTCCTGCCATTGCTTCTGTGCTTTTGTGCCAGAAAGACGTCACTGCATTGCAAGTGAACCGACCTTGACTTTAATGATTCTGCTCTTGAAATTGTTCAGCACGACTACAATGTCGTCCGAGTCCGCCGGAGAGTCTGTGCCGTCATGGCTGCAACAGAAGAAAGAAATGATAATGAAAACATTAGAAGAGAGATTTTCAGATTAATTTATAAAACCAGGAGCAAAGAGGAGTGGCTGACATTTCATTTATGTGACAGAATATAGCCAATTCTGCACATTATTACCTGTAAATCTTGTAGATTTCATCAGAGCGCCCTTTCCTTAGCTTCAGGATCCAGGCGCCTGGGTTGGCTTTGAGCTGAAAGTAACCCTGCAGAGCAGAAGAAAGGAGATTTACAATTTCAGGCTGAGAGAATATTAATGTCTAGGAAAGTAAAAAATATGTTATTTATCAAGTAGAAAAGCATTAAAGTATAACAAATCAAAGCTGTGTTATAGAGAGGGTCGTGCTTTGAAGCGATTACCAGGTTTGCCATGACGATAGTGTCCACGATGACGGGCTCAGACTCGGTTCCCAGGGTGAACTGAAGGCCACGTGGAGGCTGACCCGAACTGACGTCAAAACAATGGCCCTCCAACAAAAGGTGCTCCAGCTCATACTCTGCCGCTACAATATTCTCCACCTGCAAACACGGAAGCACAGCCAAGGAAAGTTTACTTCATGCAGCCCGATATCAGCGTCCAGGGGCTCCACAGACACACATTAATAATGGTTCCCAAATTAGCTGAAGGTCTCCATGAGGACTGGACTCCAAAATGTTCAATATATAAGCTACTTATATTATCTATATGTTGTCCAGCCAGGTGAGTTACTGAAACAGCAAAATTAAAGAATTAAAAACAAACAAACAAGCGACCCTGCCTAAAAACAGATGTACTGCTGTACCTCCTGCAGGTAAATGTTGTCCAGATCATATCGAGTGTGCACAGACTCAACCATCCAGCTCTCGGGAGTGTTGAGGTTTAGAGTGAAGAGTGGAGACTGGGGCATGTCCAGGAACTTTGCTATAGGCCCAGGAGAGAAACTACCATCAGCCTGAAACGCCACCTCTGGCTCTAGGACGTAACGATAAAAACTGGAAGACAAACACACAAGCAGAAAGCAGGTGAACTTTTATATGGTGGAGGAGTCTTTACACCACGTCCTGCCTGCTTTAACAGAACAATCCTGACTTATAGTAAGTGCCATATGCACATGAAGCAACATCAAAAGATTCAGGAACGGTAACAACTTGTTAGCAGATGTCCATATTATTATAAACCTGCATAATAATATGATATTTGATGATTCTGTACTTTAACTAAAGGATAAATGAAAAGTGATGTGGGAGAGGAAATAGAAAGACCATGAAGGTGTTACCAGGATGTACAATTTCAGCATGGAGTACAGAAACTGCTTGTTTTCTCACCTCTTCAGGGGCATTTCTGACAGCTTTGACTGGCAGTTCATGAAGACACGCAGGTTGACATTTACCAGCTGCTTTATAACCTGCAGGAGGCGCGGAGAGAAAGGTGTTACACAGAACAAAAACAGACCACGTTGGAAATAAATCAACTGGACATACAAGCATGATGGATCGCAAATTCAAAGGAGTTTTCACAGATAACCTACCAGAAGAAGAGGAGCAAGTTTCTGAGCTTCTCTGGTTACTGGATCTACCACGGCAACAACATCAAAATATACATCTCCCTCTTTGGGACGAATCTTCACAGCACTGCCAGCAAACAGCAAATCAACGAGAAAATCAAGCAAACAAAACATATTTAAGATCCTCCTGCTTTCTCCAGAAAAAAAAGCAAACAAAAAAAACTTTAACCGACCTCTTCAAGGTCTCCCTTCTGAAATAAACCATCAAATCACCCTTGTGGAGTACTCACTTTTTAAACCTCTCAACTCAATAAAGAAATCTTGCTCATCTGATTTATACACAGCTGTACCTGTAGCGGTCATCTGCAAAGCCATACTCCACACGGGCTTCTCCTTTAGGCTGAGACGAGAGCAAAGCGTCCACCTTCATCACAAGGTCGCTGGCCCTGAGAAAAATGAAGTGTTAGCGCGACAAGAAAAGTTCATCTGTAAACTTCTTCTTAGAGGAGCCTGAAAATACCTGTCCTCCTCGATTCCAAAATTCTGAACTTTGCTTTTGATGCGCTCTCCAGAAGTCTTTAAGATGATGCTCTCCAAAAGCAGGAAGTCGTCCTGGTTAAACACCTCCGCCTCCTCCAGCGGACCTATGATCTGTCAAGAAGAAAACAAAAATACTGACTGAATAACTACAGCAAATGTGGGTAGATGGACATTTTTGAAATCAATATAAGCTATATTTGAACCTTTACAACATCTAGGGCAGGTTTAAAATTTCTGACTCACTCTTCCGTTGCTGATAACTGCTCTTTGTCCTTTCTTCAGTTTGAGCACATCTCGACAGTAAGCAGCGTGGGAAAGCAGGAAGTTGAACTTGGGAGCCTCATACGCACTTTTAAACAGTGACAAATCCATACCCTGAAGAAAAAAACATAGATATTTTTGTAGGCAGCTGACAAAAGGACAAATTAGGAGTAAAAAAAAACTAGGATGGCTTAGTGCCTTTGCACTAAGCCACTAAGCCATGATCCTGTTTAGATTCTGTGTGTAACCCTCTCACCCCGACAGCGAACTCGCCGACGTCGACACCCTTCTGCAGGGCCGCAGCGGTCTCTTCTTTAGCCATCTTTGTGATGAAGTTCTTGGCATTATTGGCAGTTTGTGTCTGCATGGCGGACCAGATTGCTCTGGTGACGCGGGTCGTCTCAGCAGACACGTCAGCTGACGGGTTGTTGATCATCCCCAGTCGGACGTTGTTGCTGGTTTTCTGTTGTACAAGAGGGGAGAGATGGTAAGCTTCTGCAGGCTTTAATGTTCTGACCGTCTATAAGCTAAACTCCACATGAGTATCACTGTAAAGGAAACTATGATACACAGAATGGACAGTCTCAGTTTTAAAACTGGTTCACCTCTTTTTAACAAGCATGTGCATTTATTTGGTTAATGTCACAGACCACGTTTCATTGCTTTGCATCCGTGTTTGTCTTTGTGCGAAGGAACACAATTACTTTTTGGCATTCTGCCTTTTTGCTTTTCTCTCCTTCAAGTTCTACAACAATAAAGTCATCACTCTTGTGTCTGCACGCAATGATGCTATAGCGAGCTGCACATTAGCCTAGCTGTGTATAAAAGTCTGCAGCAGCCACAGGCTGCAGAATAAAAACATCAAGTAGTAGCTTTATGTGGTGGTTAGGTCACATATCCTTTGTGAAAAAGCAACTTTTGGAAGGTATCAGAATTTGTTTTATACAGTTTACTTGACATCAAAAATTGTATAACAATTATTTTAAACACAGCTCATTTTATACCATGTGTTTGATGGCGTCATAAAGGAGCTGGCGTCCTGAGGGTTTGTCAAAATCTCCCACTACCCAGAAAGTCACAGGACGAATGTAGGCATCATCTGACAACCACAGAAGAAGAAAGACACGAGGTAAGAATAAACAACCACAGCAATGCTACAGATCAACTTCAGTGGTATTAATGGTGTTGGCAAACAAAGATAATACACTCACTGGCCACTTTGTTAGGTACGCCTGTTCACGGTTCATTAAGTTCAAATTTATTTATAGCCCAATATCACATATAGAAGTTCAAACAGCTTCACATAAAAACATCAAGAATCAAGGTCACTTATATCTAAAAAAAACAAACAAGCAAGCAACTCATCAGAAATACACACACACGCGTTATTTACCAAACAGACCATAGGAATAGGGAAGAAAGGTCATTTAAGTGACTTTAGCCATGGGATAGTTGGTAGTGTCAGACATACTGGTATGAGAGTTTCAGAATCTGCTGATCTACTGGGATTTAGAGAATGTAGTCAGAAAAAGAGAAAATACTCAATAAGCTGCAAATTTCTAGGTGAAAATGCCTTGTTGATGCCAGACGTTGTTGGAGAATAGCCAGATAGGGTAACAGTAACTCAAAAAACCAAGTATGCACTATGCAGAACAGATTCTCTGAATGCACAACATGTTGAACCTTGAAGCATATGTGCTACAGCAGTGGAACACCACACCGAGTGCCACTCCTGTCAGCTAAGAACAGAAGCTACGCCCAATGAATCAGGATGTTGCACAGCTCAAATCATCTCAAACTGGTTTCTTGAACATCACATGACCGCTCTACTCAAATGAGCTCAATCCAATAGATCACCTGTTTGATGCCATCGTGTTGATATGGACCAAAAACCTCTGAGACTTACTTCCAGCACGTACAAACAATTAAGACAGCTCTGAAGGAACCAGCACTATCAAGCTGTACCTAATAAAGTGACCACTGAGTGCTAAAGTGCTGCTCTCTGCTCCAAATTTTGCTTCCTTATCACACCGTTCAAACTTTTCATGCAGTTTCTTTGAAATCATACTGGGTGAACTATCATGCTCTCCCACTGGAACAAACAACGTTATAGTGAGCAGTTACATAAACAAATTTTGGTACTCATGCTTGGAGACTGGTGTACAATTATCACATGCATAATTATTAGTCATTTGTGTCCTTTGAGAACTGAACACAGATGGAGGAGTGGTGGTGGATTCACAAACACGGTGCCAACAATGTCGTTAACAGAAAACTGAAAAAAAGAGCAAGTGAGTAGGAGGGGGAATAATGTGGAGAAAAAGGGTGATTACCATGCCTGTTGGTGGTGGTCATCCCTGATGCAGGGAATTTAAAAACACATGAATAAGAGGCGGAAGTGGAGGAGGAGGAGGGGACAGAAGGAGAATACACCAGGAGAGAGTTTAGCTTTGAAATTTTTTATCTTCACAAGTAACAACAAGAAAAAAAATCCACAGGCATGCTTTTCTACTCAGTGATCAGATGCCAGAGTGCTCTTACCTTTCTTTGTCATATAGTTCATGCTGTTGGCCACAGCTGTGTTCTTCTCTACTGTGTCTAGCGTTGAGAAGCGAGCGTAGTCATCTATGAAGTAGTTATCTGCAAAACGAGAGGAAAAAAACAGGAGTAAAGCATCGATTCTGGAGCAAATGTTTTTATAATATACAAACTTTTGATTACATCATATCTGTACTGCAAAAAACGCCAACAAAATAATAATCATCAAATAAATAGAAATAAATAGTAGCAGTAATGGTTGAAGAATATTTGGAAAACTAACTGTGCTTCTACATGAAGCTTTGAGTCATCCATGTCACAGACAGCACATTAGTTTCTGAGGATGATCTAAAAAAAATTGAAATTTAAGAAACCCTCATACTTACTGGTATCAGACAGATCCAGGTAGGTTCTGCTGGTGGACAACACTCTGGGGTTGATTCGAGGAACAACACTGGGCTGGTTCATGATGAAGTCGACGACATCGTGGTCTGTAGCCAGCTCGCCCTGCGAGTGACATGAGAGGAAACGTGCGAGGTTAAAGTAAAAAGTCAGAGTCGTCGCTTTAGCTGCAGAGCTGACAGTCATGCAGGAGGTCCTTCTCTGCAAGATTTCCCTGCTCACAGTTTAAAAAGCACTTCTTAAATGTTAATGGCCTTTCCACTGCAGTTACGGGTGCTTGTTTAGAAAGTTTTCTCTGAATAAGTTTGAGTTAAACATTAAAAAAAAGAAAAGAGAAAAGGTAGGTAGGATGACTAATGCTATGCTGACCAGTAAGACTTCTATAGCCACCAAATTAAATGATGCTTGCTGTGTTTAAATTCCTTAGAAATCCTTTGAAAGAATCAATTCAAAGATTTGGCTCCTCTGTGTGATGGGCTGACATTAAAAGAGGAAAAATGACAGATGGCATGCTCACAAAGATCCTGCTGAAAAGAGAATTTGTTTTATGACTACAAAGACAGACAGTGTACTTTAGCAAGTTTACTTTATGGTGGCTTAACTTCTGCCTTTAATTTTACACTAAGATTTTGTAGCAGGTCCAAGAAAGAAAAACCTAATTAAAAGAAAAAGGACTGACAAATAAATATATCTTATGAAGTACTTTTTAGAAAAAACATCAACACATTTTTATTGATAAAAATTAGAATAGATTTGAAGTTTGCTTGTGAAATTAAGGCAAACTATTTGTGCTGAGATGCAAAATGCAGTTTTCTGCATATTGTTCAAAATAATACAAATACAAAATATCAAAAGATGAAACTGAGATATATTATTGGTTGTTTTGAATTAAAGTCCAGCAACAGATTTTTTTTAGAAACTGTGACTGATGCTCTAAAACCTGTATTTTAGAATAACCCTTAATAAAATAATGATATGGCAGATAATGAGCTTTTATTGTAAATGTGATTGTAACTGACCAGGTAGACGGCCCTTTGGTAGAATGAGGTGGTCTCCAGGATTTTCTGCATGGTGACAGTTTCCAGTTCATCCGGGTCCAGCTGTTCACGCTGGTAAGGTATCCCGTTGTACATGACCACAGGCAGCGGGCCTACTCCTGTTTGCTCATAGTATGCCCGTCCTTCCTGAAAGGGAAGAAAGAAAGAAATGTTATCTGGTTAACCCTTAATTATTCGGCTCTGCAGTCAGTTTTAGGTGACCACTTTAAAAAGGCTGTTCTATTTCTCTTTTAGAACAAAATCACACTTAATATTCTTGCATCTAAAAACCTCTTAAATACATGATACTATTGTACAGTTGCTGCAATTCCACCACATCCCAAATGTGCTCTACTGGATTGAGATCTGATGACTGAAGGTCATCTGAGTACAGTGAACTCATTCTCATGTTCAAGAAACCACTTTAAGATGATTTTATCCTACTGGAAGCAGCCATCAGACGACAGATACTCCACGTCAGATTCCTGTTCTTAGCTGACATGAGTGTGACGCAGTGTGGTCTTCTGTGGTTGCTGCTTCAAAGTTTAACATGATGTGCATTCAGAAATGCTCTTCTGTATACCTTGGTTGTAGCCAGTGGTTATTTGAATTACTGTTGGCTTCCTATCAGCATGAAGCAGTGTGGCCATTCTCCTCTGACTACAACAAGGGTTTTTTCTCCTGATGCTCACTGATTTTTTTTCTCTCCTCTTTTTTCAGACCATTTTCTATAAACTCCGGAGATGATTGCGTGGGGAAAATCGGAATAAATCTGCAGTTTCTGAAATACTCAGAGCAGTCCCTCTGCCACCAAAAAACATCCCTTAGTCAGAGTGACTTAAAATAATCTTTCTTCCCATTTCTGACGCTCAGTTGAGTTGGTGCCGTGTGATTGTCTGCTCAGATATTTGTGTTTGTGAGCAGTTTAATGTGTGTACCTAATAAAATGACCAGTATTCATCCACTGATGAATTATCAAACTACTCTTGAGTTGCTCAGTTATCCTTTTATTCTGGTACTACATACAGCTCTTTTGACTGTAATTGTACACTTAGATTTGCTGTGTTAATAAAAATGTAATTTTAGATTAATAATATGAACAGAAAAAACATCCTGCTCGACTCACCTTCCTGTTGCTGTCATAGCTGGAGTCGGCTCCGAGGACACTGCTGACTTCGACGTAGGGAAACTTCTTCTCCAGCACTTTAACTACATCCCCGACACTCAGCCGACCACCAACTGGCACACGGTTAAACATCTATAAGAGGGAGAAGAGAACGGGATGAACAAGTGGGCAAGGCAATTTCATTTGTATAGCACACTTTCAGCACATGGCAATTCAAGGTGCTTTACATGATTAAAATAAAACAAAAAATAAAGCATAAATCACTATAAAAGTAAAATACAAGAAAACATTTACAAGAAAGCATTTACAATAAAACAATAATCAAGACAATAATTTATATTAAAAATTAAAACAAACAAGTAGAGAGCCATAATAGGATCAGTTACTCATAAGCAAGTCTAAATAAGTAAGTTTTAATTTTAGACTTAAAAGAGTTCAGTGTCTCTGCAGATTTGCATTCTCCCGATAGAGTATTCCAGATGTGAGGAGCATAGAAACTAAAAGCTGCTTCTCCATGTTTAGTTCTGGTTCTAGGGACGGTCAATAAACGAGAGCTGGAGGACCTAACTGATCTGGATGGTTTGTACCATGATAGCAGATCCCTAATGTATTCTGGTGCTAACCCATTCAAGGACTTATAAACTAATAAAAGCACTTTAAAAAGTCTATTCTCTGAGCTACAGGGAGCCAGTGTAATGACTTTAGAACTGGAGTAATGTGCTCCATTTTCTTGGTTCTAGTGAGAACACGAGCAGCAGCGTTCTGAATCAGCTGCAGTTGTCAGATTGATTTTTTGGGTAAACCTGTGACGATACTGTTACAGTAATCAAGGTGGCTAGAGATAAATGCATGGATGAGTTTTTCTAGGTCTCCTTGTGTCATCAGTCCTTTAATCCTAGAAATGTTCCTCAGGTGATAGAAGGCTGACTTTGTTATAACTTTTATGTGGCCCTGGAGGTTCAGGTCTGAGTCCATTGTTACACCTAAATTTCTGGCCTGGTCGGTAGTTTCTAGTTGGACCAGTTTGAGCTGATTACTGATATTTAATCAATCTTTTTTGGGTCCAAAGATAAGTCAGTTTTGTTATTGTTCAGTTGAAGGAAATTATGAGACATCTAGTTGTTAATTCGCTCAATGCATTTATTAAGAGTTTGGATAGGTTCAACATCACCTGGTGACATTGAGATATAAAGTTGAGTATCATCTGCATAAATGTGGTAGTTAATATTATTGGTGGTTATAATCTGGCTTAACGGGAGCATGTAAATGCTAAATAAGAGGGGCCCTAGGACGGAACCCTGGGGGACCCCGCATGTGATTTCTATATTTTGTGATGAAAATTGGCTAATTGACACATAGCCAATGTTTCTATTCTTAAGGTAGGACTTGAACCAGTCGAGTACTGTACCAGAGAGTCCGGCCCAGCTCTCTAGACGTTCCAGTAATATATCATGATCACCGGTGTCAAACGCTGCACTAAGGTCCAGTAGTACCAATACTGTGGATTTCCCATGGTCAGTATTTATACGGATGTCATTAAACACTTTGACAAGGGCTGTCTCGGTGCTGTGGTGCCTACGAAAACCAGACTGATAAATATCAAAGCGGGTGTTCATTGTGAGAAAGCTGTTTAACGATAAATGGAAGATTAGAGATTGGTCTGTAGTTTTGCATTAATGTGCTGTCTAGGTTCTTTTTCTTTAATATTGGTTTGATAACTGCTGTTTTTAAGGCTTTTGGGGAAGACACCTGATAGGAGGGATGCGTTAACTATTTGGATCAGGCAAAGAGTAACAGAGACACAGATTAGATAAAGTCTTACAAAGGTCTTTTTCACTTCCTAGTTTCTGTGAACAATGGACTCACCGACATGACGGCTTCAAATGCATTCTGACTGTCCACCTCTTCAGTGATGTAGTTGTAGGCTCGGACGAGTGCCACACCGGCATCTTGCATACCATCTATGTCGTCTTCATCCGACACCACAAACACCAGCCCGATCCTAAACACAAACACGGAGCAAGTAAGCTTCCAAAAACAGTTAAAATGCAGAGCGTGTGCTGCCTGCTTCATCAGTATTCAAACAAACTGACCATCCCAAGATGCCACATGCAGCACGGTATCAAAGGTCTTCCAAACATCCCTGACAAAACTCCTAAATTAAAAATGGATTTTTAACTACACATTTCTACTGACTACCAATGCTCTGCAGCTCCTCTTTTATTTTATTTATTTATTTTAGTTTTCTGGTTACTGTATAGCAATAAAAAAGTGATATGTTGTGTATTCAAATTCATAAAAGCTGATAATTAATTCCCAAGAAAATGTCCAAAAAATGTATGCATCTTGATGACAGAAACACCAACCTGAGGGGTATATTATTAGCATAAAACATCTCTGCGACGCTCAGCAGTTCTACAGTGTTCTCCTGGGTCGGATCCAGAATGATCACCTGCAACAGATGCGTGTTAGCATTCATCAGAAAAGTTTCAGACCTATTTGGATTCACAGGGGTCTGATTAATAAACTGCACTCTTACCAGATTGTGAAAGTTCTTGCGGATCTGCCTGATGACTCCAGGGAAAGTTGGTCTGAGCAGCTCCTGCACGTTGGAGGGCCATGAGCTGTACCTGTAGTCGGTCTCCAAGTTGTTAATCCACTAAAAAGGAGAATGCAGTGAAGAGGAAATGGTTTAAATTAAGTTTAAAGACAAGAATGAGCAGACAAGAGCCAACAAGAAATTCCTTCCGCTAGCAGTAAAAAGTAAAGCAGGACGATAATTTTGGAGGGCTTGAAATGCCTCCAAATTTGCTCAAATAGAAACTTGATTGCACAACAAAAATCTTCCAAACACAACACATTTCTTTCCAAGCTTATTTTGGTTAAGTCCCTCATTTGCTGCAGCATTCAACAGTTAGTTATTAGGGATGTGTGTGAACACGGACACTCTTACACTGATGGCCGGGCTGCGGATGTCGACGGCGTAGTCAGAGTCGGAGGGCTGGACGTTGAGCTTCAGGATGTCGTGAATAAAAGGTGTCTCGATTAGCAGGGAGCGCAGACCCTCCATCACCCGGGCCTCGCTGCGCAGAACTTCAAACACACTGCAGGTAGCAAAGGACAGAGGCGAATTAAGTGATGCAGTGTGTGTGTGTATTGTAATCAAGAATTTGAGCGTAGCATCTAGACTGCCTTATTATCTGAAAGAGATGTATAAGTAGAGCTCATTATTTTCAGTTTTGATCTGGCTTATTTAAATCATTAAACAGCAGGTAAGATGTGAATGTGAAATCAGATTTTAAAAACATGACAAAGAAAAAGCAACAATCTCCGTTATTATACAGTCTCACTCTCAACTTATTTTATCGATTGGTTGAGCACAACCTATTAATACCTAATACAAGAACTAATTTTTGAATATTCCAGTAAACCCAAGAATATCACTTGGGTACAGTTTTCCATATGGAAGCATTTGCTGCTTCTGTGACTATCATTCAAATCTTTTCATGCCCGATTTTAGGCCCAGTTGTCTTAACATTCCCAGGTCTTAAGAGCCCAAACACACGCACACACACAAAAATCTTTAATTTAATTTTACTTTACATTTTGTTCTAAACAATTGTTAAAGTATATAATCAGTCAAGACCGTAGCTTGACTGATTATATACTTTCATTTGCAAAAGGTTAAAGCAACACAGATGCATTTCTGTGCTGTAATTACTGCAAATTAGATGCTCAAAATATGGCTTTTTGTGTGTACCTGAAGATGTCCTGTGCGTCCAAATCTATATGCAGCCCGTTGATGAACAGCGCTGAATCCCCGGGCTGCAACCCCAGAGTTCCTTTGAAAAACTATGGAAAGAGAAACGTCAATATGACTAAATATCCTGTTTGTGTCAAGCTCCCCATTCAACACCAGCTGAGCAGATCACCACGCTGTGAGGCAAACAACATCAAAACCAGCCATCATGTAGTCAATTATACTGTAAAACTAGAGGCAACAGTCAACACAAAGCCACAACGAGTCACGTTGACAGCTCTAAACAAGCACTGACAACTCTGTTCAAAATCAGCCTGTTTAGAGCAATTAAACCCCACACTAAACAAATCTAATTATCAAAGAAGGGGTGTGTAAATGTGTGTGAATATGTCTATGAGAAGAGACCCGCATGTGTGTTTGTGCGTCTGCACAGGCAAAAAGAAAGCTCAAAGTCGTTCTGGCACAGTCAAATCTCATTACAGAAAGACAAAGACATCAGATTAATCATACTCCAGACATTGCAATTACAACAAGACATGATTAACACAAATATTGTTCATCCCACTTAAATTGTGTGAGTGTGTGGATGCATGCCTGTGTGTGAGAGAAAGACAAAGACGTGTCTGTGTGCGAGCAAGTGCACGTGTCCAAACTACTTCAATCAATAATCATTTCTCGCTGTAGGACTCTGCGCGCCTGCTGAATGAATCACCGATTCAGTAATTAGGACGTTTGTCTGCTCAGCCCCACCATCAGCCCGAACTCCTGTCTGCACACCAAGATAATGTGAGCACAGCTTCAGGAGAGGAGACCAAGCAAAGGAGAGAGAGAAAACACTGACAAGAAGAAGGGGTGAGTGCCTATTCCACTAACAGGCGAACCAAAACACACATTGTCAAAAACTGAATGCTTTCAAATCAGATGATGTTTACAATTGATCACAAAGTAAAAGGTAAAACAAAACCAGGAGGGGCAGTTTCATTTTGAGAGACAAAAGCTACTTGATTGTGGATGTTTGCAATAATGCTGTATGTCTCGGTTCGTCCTCTTTAGTGGATTAAATTGGTAAACAGCTAAAGCTAAATTATCCCTAACCACTAGAGGACACAGTCTGCAAGATTAAAAGAATAAGGATCCTCGATAATGGAAAGACAAACATAGGACAGATGATGAAATCGAGCAGTTTGAAAGCAGATGATTTAGTCTTAGCCACTGAACTGCTGAGCTAAAAGTTAATGATTCAGGCTGATCAAAACTCAATTTTAGAGTTTTTTTTACTCTCACTTTGTGAGGGGCAGCCAATCACAAGAAATACTGCTTAAAAGGGGAGCAAATCTATAGGGGAAGGAGCTAAAGCGACGTCTTTCAGACAGCGGATGAACTGAGCAGCTGCACCAACGCCCACTATAAGATTTATAAAGGTTATTTTGAACTGTGAAGCATACAAAGCTACTCCAGGGAAGCCCAAAGAATAAAAAATTTCTGATGGATATGAAAAGAACTCACTTTATGCCAACGAAAAGGTCTTGGAGGCACAAAAGAAGGAACCAGAATATCAATGATGTAGCAGCTTATGATCCACCAGAATTCACAGGTTATTGTAAAATGTAAAGTTCTTAATGAAAGGTCTAGGTTTTGTTGTAACTGGTAAAATCCACCGAGAAGTCAGGGAGGATCACAAACAGCCATAAGGGGGACAAATTAATCTTGTTCCACTAAAATCACACGAATATTCTTTAAAGAAGCAGCAGATCTTGTGAAAACGAATATGACCTTCATCTTGCACCAATTCTTGTGAATTGTGGAGATATGTATGGACAACAGATGCTTTGCCATCACATAAGCCTATCAGTCCTTCGATTGGATGAGTCAATAAAAAAACAAAACAAAAAAAAGAGCCTTGTAACAGCCTCGTCATCCGGTCTTTGCAAGAAGACAAGAAAAGCTTGTGTCCTAATGAGATTTTTATGTGACATCAGTATTGTTTTTTCCCCAAGTCACACAGCAAAGACGTATGACATCAGAGAGAGGAATATAAAGACTAAAGACACTGACACATCGTGTTGAGGTTGGGATCGGAGGTAATGTTGCATAAATTAAGTCAGCTTAATTCATGTTGTAACAATTACATGTGGTTTCTAAACCTGAAAATACCTGAAATGATCAAGTCATTTAGTGTTAGTCTAACAAGCACATGAAGGCCTATTAACTGCATTCATGAAGTTAAAAGAAAGTGAAAGAGACTAAAGGGTTCATTTTCATCTTTAACCAAAAGCAGAAATGTTTTCATTGTGTTACAAAAGGGGAAAAACAAGTGGGAAAAAATAGAAGATGATCAAACATGTACCTTTTGATTCTCGCCAATCTCTTTACGGATCTCCGAGTTGACCACAGTTTTAGTGATTGACCTGGGAGAGAAAAGGAAGACTGAACTGTGAAACTGCTGACTATCCAAAATCTACACAAACCAAGCTTCTTATTGTAGTTACTGCTCATGTGTGTGTGTCTGTGTGTGTTTTCGTTTCTCCTCTACCTGGCCTTGGTGGGAAAATTCTGACTGAGGTCTTTCATAACATTGAGGGCATCAACAGCAGGAGCAGCAAGAATGCGAGCAGCTGTCTGGAAACTCAGATCTGTAAAAGAGAAGGTGGGTGGATGTTCAGGCAGGCGACGAGGGTCAGAATGGGAAAGAGATGAGTGGAAAAATTAGTAAGAAGAACAGGAAACACAGGAGAAGAAGAAAAAAGAAACAATGATCATAATTAGAAGACATGTGAGCACTTAGACATAAAACAAAGACAAGGGCTGCTTCAAAGATCGTTAACTTACTCTTGATTATTTAAAAGGACTAAGGCTATATGCTTGCAGCTCTGTACAACACAGACATTTCATATGGGCAAATTACGATTCACATTAAAGTGTCGATGCTGAAATGTTTGTGTTGAGCAGGAATAATGTTTATGATGTTCGCCACCTTAAATTGATATAAACGCAGATATACTTATCTCGTTAATTTGTAAGTGTGGAAAAGATAAAGGGGTGTATGGAGCTTTGGTGTGCAAGGAGGGAAGAGAGCAGTGAGGATTATTTCAATGCAGTGAGCATCTCTGTAATGGTGTTGTAGTCTGTGTGATTATTAGCCTCTGGAGGTCTCCCTCTCTTTGTAAACAGGCTGAGCTAATGAGCCCCACAGGGTTAGGAGATAAAGACAGACGCCCACATGACAGTCTGACAGTCGAGTTCAACCTCCTCATCTCCTCGGAGCCTTTATTCGCCAAATATAAAAGCAGCCGAACGCTCACATCCTGATTACACCTACTGATAGGCTGACCTTTTACATATGGAAGCGTTTTCTTTAAGAAACATAAACATAACAGATGAGCTGGAGCCAATATAATTTTTTATTTGCTCGATAACATCAAAAAGAAAATGACAAAATTTAAAAGTATATGTGATTGCATCTGTGAGAGTGAGTTTGAACTGTTAATCAATATATGATGTCATCTTAATCAATGCTTTTATATTGCTGCAGACAAAGCTTTCATGTCTTCAAGGTATTATGGCTCAAACGCATCAAGAGGACAGTGATCGATTGCAGTCGTAGATCAGAGATCGATACAGATTTACAGGTGGAATGACATCATGGTTAAAGCAACAGAAGACAACTGGAGAAGCCAATGTTAATTTATTTTCATTTATTCCTGATCAAAGGGTTGTTGAGACAGAGAATAGGAAAGCGTTTTTAACTTTCTAATAGTTCAGGAAACTCCCATGGTTAACAGATGCTTTAAACAAATACAGTATATGTACGGTGCTAGCATGTGATAATACAGATACAGTTTATTTTCTCTCATATAATACTGTTTTGAGGTGGACCCATTTCTTGGTCCACCTGTTTGACTCGCATTAACCAGTCCTCTACCAAAAATGAAAACTACTACCAACTAGTTGGTAATAGTTAAGCATATTGGGCATTTTTTCTATTTAACACATGTTAGGAAATCCCAGAAAAGACACGGGCTTCTAGGAAGCACAGGCTGACTGCTTTTACTGTAGGCGGCGATTATGTTTTCTGCTGTCTGTAGTCACTCCCCAAAGGCCCATTCTGTGCTAGAAAAAAACAAAAAACCTTGAAATGATCTTTTTTTTTCCCCATTTGTGGAGTAAGGAGGGTATCTTTAAAATGATTGTGTAACGAGATATTTCTGTGAAATTGTAAGAACGTCAGAGGACGCTCTGGGTCAGCTAACAATTGATTTGAATTTAATGGGTATGAGGACATGGGATTTTTCCCATCGGATAATTGTCTTTGTCAGCCATAGCTATGGAAGTAATAGATAGAGAACGAAGTTCAAGTCCTGCAGGTATATTTGCAGGATCATAAAATTGATTCTCTGAAAAATTAAGTCACAGGAGCAATGCCCACAGGTTTTATCTGTAGATTAAGAGGGCCTCACAGTTTATTTTCTGCTAGCCTGTCAAGATGTTGACTCGGTCAGTTTTGACAAGTTTGTTTCATTGTGCTGTATCATTATTTATTTACACGTGTAATACCAGAAACAGATACTTCCTTACAGAGCCTGTTCATATTGTCAAAACCAATCACTCAGAAGGAAACTGCAAACACAGAAAAATCTGCTGATGTCTGAAATAAGACAATTAAATTTGGAAAGAGGCCCACCTTGCATTTGCCAGACTTTCAGAGGTGCCATCTCGTTGGTGCTTTCAACTAAATGCTTCCTCAATTCTTTAAGCTGTTCCTTGAGCTCCGGGTAGAGGGTCCTAGTGAGAAAGATGGACAGAATGCATGCATCTGTTAAATGACTTAAGTGCTAATTAAGAAAAAGTTGTTGGATTCACAGATTGATTTGATTATTTCTGGTTAGTTGAGCACAGATGTGGTCGGTGCTTCAAGACAGGAGGAAAAAAAAAGAAAAAAAAAAAAAAGAAAGGCTTGGCTGAGAGAGTGTGGTGCAATTCCTGGACCTAATCCAAGCTTTGAATTTTTATCATAGGCTGACACAGAGTCACTCACTTGAGTTTGCCAAAAAGGAATCCCTGAACCTCATCCACTGGATCATTCTCTCCGATCATTGTAGCATTCACCTCCGCCCCTGAAACCACAATCAATTAACTCGATTTTCAAGTCAGGACTCCTCTGGGATTACAACACTGTGGGCATGTGTGTATCGACTGTGTGTCTTCGTGTGAGTATGTACACCTTGGACTTGTGTGTCATCCTTTGCTTTGTACTCCTGGCTTTTGATGGCCAGCTCCACTCCATACCCGGACAGATACACCTTCTTTCCTCTTGACTTCTGCAGAAGAAGAAAAATAAGAAAAGATGGGACATCACATGCTTATAATTGTGTCACACACAGAAAACGCTTAATTGCAATTAATTGCATTTGCAAACAGATTAAAAGACACAGTTATGCTAACCTGATGACAAAACAAAAAAAAAATTTTTTTTCTTAATGTAAAAAGCTCTGTGAACGTTCTTGTGTTCCCACTTGTAAAAAAAATAAATCCCACTCACATTATAAATGCATGTGCTTGCTGACTATCTTCCATGTGCAGACAACCAGCTTGCTAAGTACTTAAGCCACTAACTGTCCCTGGTCTGGCCCCAGAGCTATATGCATAGAGTAAGAGTTAAATGTTACAGCCTTTCTAGTGCCCAGGACTTCCTGCCTGAAAGACAGATGGTGAGAATAATTTAGCATAATCAGGGGGAGGAAAAAAAGAAAAACACTATCAAATGGATTTGCATGTGAGGGGAAAGTAATCCAACTTGAGAAACTTGCAGTCTAGCATGAGGAACTGGAGAAGCTCTTTTCATCCCAGGTGTAAATGAGGACCGTCTTAAACTGCAGATTTTTTTTTGTAAGACGAGGATAAAACACGGGAGCCCAAAGTAACTTTGGGATTTCACCACATGACTATAAACCAACTTACACTTATAAAACTATTCCTGACATGGAAAACATTTGCTTTATTGATAATTTCACATAGTAGTGACCTAAATACGCTCAATCTCAAACTATCTAATGTGATCTTCTCATTTCAATTATATTAGAAGTAAAGCAATTCTTACAGGCAGGTAGTGGCGAAGCACGTAGGTCACCGAGCCTTCATTAACTTTGGACAGAATGACTTGGTGAAGCTTCTGGAAATCTGCCGTCCCAAACTGGGCGTAAAGAATCACAACAGGAGCATCTGGATTTGAACCTGGGTATTTATGATCACCTTTAAAAAGATATGGCTTTGTCCTGGAAGAGAGAAAAAAAATTTAATCTTAATAATATAATTCGTAATCCTTTTGCTTTAGATGTATGTGACTTTTTTTTTACCTTTGAGGTGCACTTTTTAGGAGTGCCTCTAACTTCTCTGCATCACAGGTCTTCTCTCCGTGGATGCTCAAAAAAGCTGAGCAGCCAGAAGGAGGAGGCTCAGTGGACGCTATCTAAAAATATACACCCAAAAAGCATAATCAGTACTAATATCATCCTACTCACATGTATGCTCAAGCCTTCAAAACAGCTTTAAATTGCCCTGCTGTTACCTGTTGGAAGGAGTGTACTGTTGCAGAGTAAGCTCTCAGTGAGAGTGCGAACTTCAGCATGTTTAACTGGACGGAGCTGAGCAAGGCACTGGCTCTCTTCATGATCAGATCATAGTAGGCCTGATCTGTGTCTGTGTGGGGACAGCAAATGTGCACACGTAAGATTTCGGTGTGGTCTCGCCCCTCCCTAGAGGACCTATTACCCTTCATATTTAATTACTGTAATCTATATTAAATAGCTTTGCAGAATTCACAATTCAGAATAATCCTTTTTTATGTTACACTGGGCTGTGAAGCAATAACCACAGATCTTATCTCGCTTCAGGGTCACGTTCCCTGCAAGCAAACTTTCTTCTAATTCGCTGGGCCTCACAAACGGAAGGTCTGAACAGCAGGTGGACGGGGCTGCTGTGCTGAGAGAATATCTGTTCTCACTTACAACATAAGGTGCCATAATCAAAAAAAGGAGAAAAAACTGTGTTCAGAGCAATCTGAAGCCTGGGTTTTCACTGGGATTACTTGCACAAGCGCTGACCTCAATATCGGAAAATCTGACCAAATTTAATATGAGTAACCACCACTGGTACAGTATATATAATAAAGAGAATAAGGAAAAGCATAATAGGTCCCCTTGAAATTGTGTTACAGCAGTTCTGGTCTAACTGAGATACACTTTTTATTGTGTTATTGCTCCAACGAGTATGTGGCTAAAACCCCGACAATGCAATTACTGCCAAGATGCTGCATAGACATCATAAATTCAGCTGCTCACAGCACAGAAACTAAAAGTGAAATCTTGTCCACAGAGTCCAAAGTTTTACTTTACCGTCATGCTCTCCTTCTATGTTTTGATTGGCCTCTACAAAGTCCCAGAACTTCTCCTGGCTCTCCTCTGCCATGAACTCACTGGGGAAGGAGAATATGAAAGTGGCGGTCTCATAAGCTGGAAATGCATAGTGTCAGCTACTGCAAACAGCACAACACCTAAAGCCCTTAATTATTCACAGTCTTCCTCAAGGACATATCAGTGAGACAGAAGCGTAGTTTAAACTCACTTAGAGGACAGTCACATGAATGACCTCAGAACACTGATTTATCTATTATCTCCTTTTGAAATGTAATTTATATGTAATGCAGCCAAAGTGCTGCTCCCTTTGAGCAGTGCAGTGTCATACCTGGCCTCCAGCAGCAGCGGTGTATCAGCCCATTTGGTTGTAAGAGTGGTTGTGACAGCCTTTGAGTCCGCACCCCCAGATGCGACAGAGAGCAGCGAGAGCAGCACGATCCACAGAAGCCACATCCTCAAGCCTACACCCGAGGGAACAGAAGAGTTGGGAAGTGAGGCTAAAGATTTCCACATTGCTGTTAAAGTCGAGCTCAAAATAAACAGTGTGAATGATAGTATCATCCCGCCCATTGTGCTATGCGGTAGTGAAGAACGGAGCCCACTCAGCCACCAAAGTAGATTATAATGTTATCTGGCTCTGTACGAATTGGCTGAACATCTCACTGCCAACAGAGATAAAACACAGAGGCAGATCCTAACAAACTACAAGCTCAGTGACCACAAAGATGCCATTGATAGATGAAGACAATAAAAACATGGAAACGGAAATACAACACAATATGTAGCCACTGTCAAACCTTTAATAACAATAAATCATTTCCTTTAACAAATTCAGCTCTGTTTATGCAGATTTCCAAGAATGCAGTTAATTATCTCTCAAATAAAAACATACAGATATAACATACTACAACTACTGTGTATAACCAACATATATTATTAATTGTATATTAATAACATTTAGTTGCTTACACTCTGTCCTAATGCGTTGGTGCTACTGTTTGCTGACACTTTTATATACTAAAGATGACCTTTGAATTGAACATATTTAAACCTTGGTTTTCTTCATGGATGGGGCCATATGGACTTAGGGAACACAGAGATCAAATGAGGCCGTCTATGTGCAGTTCTAACCTTTGTACCGTGGTGCTTTTTTTTTTTTACCTAGAATTTGCTTCAAAAGACCCTCCGTAGGATACAACATCTCAACTCAGAGTAAAAGCTCCTGAAACAAGGAAATGTTTCAAAGAGACCTCTGAAGAAAGAGCAACAGCGCTTAAATAGAAAACACATGTTGCCATTTTTACACATTTTTGCTTATCATATAATTTCATTTATGCTCTCATGAGTTCTTGCAAACAACATTTCCAAATGATATTATTTTTAGCAACTTATATTTGGATTTCACCTTAATTAAACACCAAATATTCAGTGGCTGTAAGGGCACTGATTTTAACATAATTGGTTGATTTTATTGTATTTATATTGCACAGCAATATGACAAAAATAAAGTTAGCCTTCCTGAGCAAGGTCGATTTAAGTCCCCACCTCACTCGTTTATTGGTCACAAGCAAAAGGATGAGATGGTGGATGCAAGCGGGAGAAATGAGCTCCCTCAGAAGGGCGGCTGGGACTGCTCTTAGAGACAGGGTAAAGATTTTAGTCAATTGAGAGGGTCTCAGAGTAAAGCCACTGCTCCTCCACATTGAAAAGTGCCAGTTGAGATGGGTTGGGCATCTGATTAGGAAGCCTCCTGGGTGAGGTGGGTATGTCCTACCAGGAGGAGGCCGTGCGGTAGTCTCGGGACACACTGGGGCAACTATATCTCTCAGCAGCCCTAGGAAGGCCACGGTGTTCTCCCAGATAAGCTGGAGGAGGTGGCCTGGATAGGAGGAAGTCTGGGTTTCTCTGCTCAGGCTGCTGCGCCCGCAACCCGGCTCCGATAAACAGACAACAAAATAAATAGATGGAAGGAGTTAGTTCTTCCTTTGCGGTCTTTTTATGTTAGCCTGTTAACTAAACTACACGCAAAACTGTTTCACTAGCAAGGACAAACAATTCTTATATTTTAATGGACAAAATGAGCGTTGTTTTTGCCTTTGTATGTATTTGTAAGACCACAGTATGGTGGGTGAACTCTAATTTCTGACGGCACTGAACGATCCATTATTCAGTGCCACAGGGTGTGCATAACAGGCTTTTATCAGCTTTCCACTGAATAATATTGAGATCTGATCAAATCCTGTTATTAAATAAAAAGTCTGCTCAAACAATAAATGGTTCCAAGTTAGTCATTTAAAATTAAAATAAACAAAATTAATATTATTGTTTTACACATATGTATGATTATGTGGTCTAGACTTTATAATCATCTTAATAGTAGGACACATTGCGCTGCTTCAACAAGTGTAGTGTCAGAAAATATTCTTAAGACTCCTTATTAACATCGTGATACCGCCTTCAGCAGTGCTGCCGACAACATAAGGCTTGCCAAGCACAGTAGGATACTGATAATTTGCTAAGAAATTCAAACACGGTTGTGAAGTGTTCACCTAAAGCAAGGTACCAGATCATCTCCTCAAGCTGTGCAACTGATTCTACATGTTTGACTACTTAGCAATTATACAAGAATACACATAAATTAAATATTAAAGAAAAGAAACACCTGGTCATTATTTATCACTTCATGGGAAAAAAACTGTAATTAATCTAAACAAAGCTGGATTTTTAAACATTTTATTCCTCATATTATGCAGAATCATTTACCTGTGCAAGTTTAGCTGCAAATAACATAACACAATGCTTCCTATTCACGATTGTAAAAGTTATATTAGTTATATTTTATCGTATGTTAATATGACAATTTTTCTTCTTGCTTTTGGGATGCACAGCTATTAACCACACAGCAATGTCAGACCTTGCCGATTACCGTGTGGAAACAAAATAACATTTACCAAAGGTGGTGGCTGAGGTTTACTTTTTTTGTGTCTGATCAATTTTTGCCCTGGATCAGAGCTCAACAAAGACAAATAAACAGCAATGAAAAATTAATGAAATAAATAATTAATGCTGGTATCAGGATCATCTGTCAAATTTAAACATCGGTATGATGCCAGGTTTTCCATATTGTTGCATTTTAGAAATATTTTTTTAGGAGTTCAGTATTTAGAAAGGCTTTAAAAAAAGCCTTAGAGCCTTTAAAGGCCTAAAGAGGATGCACCAGTAACCTTGTTTCTTTGTGTTACCTGGCTCAATAAACTCTAAAAACCTGGTCAGAATTAACAGGTATCAAAACAGCAGTTATCAGCTTTGTCTACTAACCTAGACCTTTCGCCTCAGGCTCTGTGCATGTTCACATATAGCCTGATACTATCAAGTATCATTTCACTCTTCTTCCACACAAAATTGATCAATCGAGTGCTGCCTACTTCAGTCAGAGACATTATTACAGGAACTGGTGATAGAGATCTCCAAAGAATAGACTATAAATATATAATGACAAAAGCCAGCACCAGTAAATGTAAATGTGTCCTGCCACTTCATCTTTACAGCTGTTCAACTGCTTTTAAACACAAATATCTAATAAGCCAATCACATGACAGAAACTCAATTAATATAGGCATGTAAAGTTCTTTCCCATTCTGATGGCAGAAATGAGGAAGAAAGGGAATAAGACACAAATTACCACTGGTTGTAACCAATGTATGCAGAAGAGCATCCCTGAATGCACAAAACATCAAACTTTAAAGCAGGCTGGCTACAGCAGAAGGTACACAGTGAAAGAATGGACCAATTCTGCATCCTATCAGTGGTTCAGGCTGGTGGTGTTGCTGTAACTAATCCAATATCACAGTAGTTGGAAGTTATCTTGCTATGGTCAATAATGATACTCTGCCTGTTAGAAGGGGCCAGTGTGTTTTCTGGGCCAAAAGGGCGAGTTCAAATACCCTACCACAAAACAACCAATGGGTAGTGAACCAGTGGTTATGTATAATCCGCTGGGTACACTACACTTCATTGAAAGACACCTGGGTGACCAGCAAGTCAAACTCTAAATAACTCTTAAGATATAAGGTCTGAGAGGACAAAAAGAAGAGACAAACTGACGAGGGGGAAATGCATGAACCCTTCATCGCCATATCATAACGTTACAGATTTCTTGAATAGTGTTACGCTTAATTACAGCAGAGCAGGATGCTGAGGCTGTAAACAAAACGTGCCATCATTTCTATCCAATGGGAGAGTTCAGCGTGGCTCATCCGTCCAATGAGTGCACAGTTTGGACATCCGGGCTGTCTCAATGACAACCCTCAGAGCTGTCATAATAGCTGTAATCACGAGTTAACTGCTAATTGTAACAAACACCTCACACGTTCAAATTTTACTGGTTTAACCAGCTCTAATGTCTGCTGTATTTACTCTTCAGAGCCCATTCAAAGCCGGAAAACTCACGGCGAGCTAGCGCTACCTGAAATTAATGCTAGCTAACGCCTCCCGCACAAAAGCAAAACTGCCCGATTGCACCTGTTTTTGTTTACTTACACGCACAAATTGTCAAATTCTGTTGAAAAGACAATAAACAGCCTTAGCTACAAGCGTATGAAGCTCCACAACACAGAAAATTAATGATTTAGTCTCACCGAAGCCGGCTCGGTAGCTTCCTGAATTCATGATCCGCTGTGGAGTGGGCGGGTCCTGACAGGCTCATTAGGCAACCACAATGTTGCCTGTTCAAAATTACTGAACCTCTCAGCAATAAATGATTAACTAATAAGACGTGCCTTAGACGGTGAACTGCAAATTTCGCTGATAATTAATTCACTAATTAAAAACAAAGACTGTCAAAATCCTTTTTCTTTTTATATTTATTATTATTGTTGTTGTTAGTGTTGTTGCCTAAAATTATTTTCCTGATTTAAGTAAACTATGTGAAAGGACATTATTTTTTAAAAGTGTAAGAAGTGAGAAGCAGAAAATACATAATTTAATAAGCCGTATTATTAAAACCACTGACAAAAAAAAGCAGCACCCACTTAAAGATATTTGAAAAGAAAGTATTGCCAGCTCTTGGCAATAGCACTAACCAAGGACTTACCATTGTCTCTTTTAGCTTGTTTCCCAATGGTCAGAGGTGGGAAGTAACAAAGTGCTTCAGGTAACAAACACTTTTTAATACGGGCCTGACAAAGGGTGTAATTATCTTAGAATTAAATGGAATTTCCACGTATTATCACCTGGAATTACAATATAATTATATTTACCTACAAATACTTAGTAGTAAATAGACTACAATAAGGGGGTAATAGTTCAAGATTTAACAAGAAAGAAGAATTATAGTGTAAGTCATTTTAAGTAAATTTCCAGGCATTTTGTATGGTCCATCCATCCATCTTCATCCGCTTATCCGAGGCCGGGTCGCGGGGGTAGCAGCCTAAGCAAAGAGGTCCAGACCTCCCTCTCCCCAGCCACCTCCTCCAGCTTGTCCGGGGGAATACCAAGGCGTTCCCAGG